CAGATACACATCTGTCTTTATTACCGAGTCTAAATATAACAAAACAAATAAACGAAGAATCTGCTATCCAAGCACCTATGTATTCCAAAAGTTTGCCTTCATCAGCGTTTGTTTCTGGTCGACTGAAAATTCGGGACACAGCTCTAGATTATAATATTGAGAAAGGCAAGCGAGCTAAAAGTAAAACAACTTCAACATTTCGTATTGTGGAGTCCTGGTAAGATGTGGATGCTCCAAGGGGAGACCTTACCAGGAGAGCCAGAGCAGCAACTAGTAACTCTACTTACCCTACATTTAGTATGGTTTCAGGGGGACTACGCGTGGGTAATATGGTATGGGCTAAACTAGCTGGTTGTCCGTATTGGTCATCCCGTTTTTATGCTATTTGGGCTCGCACTGCCTATCAACTTTCTCAAGCCACACTACTCCCAACTTCGCAGTCATTGGAAAACAATGCATCATCTTTGGCTGTCCTTGCAACTCCCTCGGATCCAAGTTAAGCGACTGGATATACTGGTCGCGTAGACTGGCTTGCTTGGGATCAATGTTCTTATTTAGGCTGTGCTAAGTTGTACCCTTTTAAAGAGTTTTTTGATAAGCTTTATGATCCGCGTACTAGGGTAAAAAGATACGCAGAAGCTGTGCGCCTTGCTAAGCAAATCGTAGGTGGGACCTATATTCCCAGTGAAAATTTGGATTCTCAGTTAGCATGCATGTCTCCGCAAAATAAATCTCACTCACCATTGTCTGGTCAGATTTCGGCACCACCAAGTACTGATAGCCAGTGGTCATCTATGAGAACTCTTTCATCTTCTCTAGAAATTCCGTTGCTCTCACCTGTGTTCCCCTTCTTCTCCTCTGGATTCATGATAAGTCACCGTGATTTTAGTACTTTCGATCACGGTGCAGAGTCTATGAGACGACAGGATTACCAATAGCGAAACCACAGACCTCAACCATAATTTGTCAATTATTCCTTCCCTGAATAGACCTGTGTCATAGGGTAGCTTACTCGAAGGTAGGGCTCTCTTTGATAAACAACTGAGATGTAAACACTATACAATCCTTCTCTTAAGGGAAAATCCCTTCGCTAAATGTAGCTTGAAACTCGACTTAGTCATTGAGATGTCCACCAAACCCTCGTTTAAACCCATTTGTTTCAAAATCTGATAACTGGTTCTGAACTGCCGAATTTATATGGATCCTTTAAAATTCATAAACCGAATAATCCACTGAGACCTATATTATATATCTGCGGCTCACCTACACATAAGCTGGCCAAATGGTTAGCTAAATACTTGACCCAATTCGTAATAAATTATGTAAGTTTTCCCTGAAAGACACATTCGAACTAATTCATATCTTCTATGACATTCATCTTAAAGAGAAGACTATGCATTTTTTTGGTGTAAACTCTCTTTTTACCATTGTTCCCTTGATGAAAACTGTTAACTTTCTTTGTGACTATATATAAGTAATTTCCCTATTTTTTCCATCCAGTCAACTCTACTAAGAGAATTAATTTTATTATGTACTGAGAAAGTTCATTTCCAGTTTGGTAATGAACATTTCCAGCAAGTTGATGGCGTTGCTACTGGTAGTCCTTTAGGACCTCTCTTAACTAATGTTTATATGGCATATGCTGAAAATTTGTGGAATGATCACATCAATAAGCTTACTCTGTATAGGAGATATATGGATGATATTGTAAATATATGTGATAAAGAACTCAATGTCTCTCCGTTACTGGACAAATTCAATAGTCTTCAGAATGACATTGTACTAACTCGTGAACCAGAAATTAACAACCGATAGCCTTTTTTAGACATACTGTTGAGTCGAAGGAAGAATGGAACTATAAAGTGTTCTATTTATCGACAGTTTCTAAATTTCAGCAGTTTTTGTACACTGCAATATTAGCGAGGTTAAGTAAAATGCCTCTTCAAAAGGGTTCAAAGGATTTGCACAACGGATACATTTGGAGACAATGCAAAATTCTTAACTGAAACATTGATTTCAAATGGCTATCCACTAAAGTTCATCAGTAGGTGTAGAAATCAGTGAAGAAAAAAGCAAGTTTTTCATTCGGCTGAGATGAAAAAGGTTTATATCACTTTACCATATAGAGGTGAAGTGAATGATCTGGTATTAAGACAGAGACTAGAAGCAGCCTTCGAGAAAAGAATAAGCCTATAATTTCACATAGACCTAAACGTTCCTCGAATGATTGAATGTATTTATCAATTTACATGTTTGTGTGGACACACGTACATAGAGAGGAGTAACCCACTGGTACCGAAAAATTCCGGTTGATTTGACATTCCTTGACTTTGAAACGGTTTCGAAAATGTGCTTCACTGATCCGCTTCTATTATGGCTAGGAAACTACCTTGTTAATAGGAAATTCCCACCATGTTTGGTGTAGTGCACGTGAAATGGAGTGTTTCAGCATCAAGAGTTTGACAAGAGACCACCTTTGGTCCACCTCTCTTCCTTACATTCATTAGTGACTTGTTAAATAGAAGTAGCTCGGAAGCAATGCTCTACTGCGATAGTGAGAATTTCTGAAGGTCTATAAGAAGCGAAGAAGATTCAACTGAGCTTCAAAAAGACCTTACATCAGTTGAAGAATGGGCAGCCGAACATAGGTCAAAACTAAACCAGTAGAAATTTCACGTCATGAACATTCCGCTCCATGTGGCACAAATAAATAACGTTCACAATGGAAGTCCGCTCGCTAATGTCTCCACAGGAAGCGTTCTCGGTCTAAAAGGTGTTGCAAGCCTACAAACGTGCTCAGACAAAATGGGAAACGCAGCCAACGGTAGAGAAATTCATCACCTAATGCGAAAACAATATACGTAATCTCTTCAATATAATTTCCAACAAACACACCCACAAGTCTGTCTCAACTCCTCTCCTTAAAAAGGCATTACAATATACCAAGTATGTCGAATCATCTCAACTTAAACATTTTGTCAAAGCTGACAAACACGTTCTCGCATCCAGACTGTAGGCTGAAATAGAAATGGATTGGTTATTTCCTAGCTCGATAAAAAAATTTTGAATATTTGGATCGGCAAGGTCCTTGGTCAAATTTTCCTTGTCGATTCAATTCAGTCATGAAAAGCCGTGTTTGGTACGTGCAGCAGTTATAACTGCGCCAGGCACCCAAGAACAGGCCACCATGGTAGTTCATGGTATACCCGAACTCACCAGCGGTAACCCGGACGAAGCATACGAGCACGATGTACAACAGTGACGATGGCTATTGCGTAGCCTAGCCCCTCACACCACGATGGCAGTTTCGCATTTCTAGGTTGCCCCGCCAGTCACACCTTACGTCTATCAAGTCACGACGCCTGATGACTGTGACATTTAGGAACCGGGAAGACCTGACTGAAACACTCCAAGCTTGGTACAGTTCGAGGAACGATCTGCCTAGCCACGTCAGATGTTGCGAGAGCCGACCTAGATCTGTGAGACAACAGCAGGGAGGCCAAAATGAATGCACAAAACTGATAGTTAATCTCGGTTAACAACCCCTGGCACAGGACATGATTGAACCAACTGCTCAGGCAAAAAACCTTCAGAGACCAGTTCCCACAGAACTGGCCGATTCGGTTTGAATAACTTGTCTGAAAATCCGACAACGGCTGCTGCTGCAGAAGTCCACCAGGTGCTGAGACAAACCACCACGTGCCTCTATGGCAACGTAAGAGGACTAAAGGGTAGGCTGTTAGAAATCAGGGATATTTGGCCTCAGATGGATCTGAAGACCACAATCCTAACTGAAACATGGCTATCCCCTGACATTGCAGACGCAGAAGTAAGCTTGCCGGGCATGACACTCTTCCGAAGCGATAGGGAACACCAAACTGGAGGTGGAGTGGCGATAAATATATATATAGCCACTTAAAAGCAGAGCGACTATACGACACCCAACTAACTGAGGTGACAGAATCGTCTTGGTGTTGTTTCCACTCGAATGGCACGAAATACTTGATTGGAGGGAGCTACCGACCTCCTTCAGGTACTAAAGCCCAGAAAAACAAACTGATTGAAGCAATACTGCAACTGCCACTCCTGGGGTTTGATCAAATACTCTTAGCCGGAGACTTCAATGCCCCATCTTTAAATCTCACTGGTTGGTTTCAAAGACGAATTGGAGCAGCCATTAGAAGCACTGGGCTGACTGAGCACGTATGCAGTGCCACTAGGTGGACTAAGGAAGGGAAGTCCTCAAACCTGGATTGTTTGTTAACGAATGGCCAGCTCCTGGTTGAGAATGTTTACGTCCGCGCATCAATAGCTAGTTGTGATAATGAAACAGTCTTTTTTTAACATGGTCATAAACGAAACCCTCGCACAAGACGTAAAGGAGCCCTATATTTGCTACACTGGGGCAAATTATACGCATATGAGAGAGGTCCTCTCACATGCCCCATGACCACGGGAGTGGTGGAGAATGATAGTAGATGATCACTGGCAAACAGTGAGAGATACCATCCAAAACGCTGTCGTAGACAGTGAACCTCAGTCCCATTATAAACGCGTGAATAGGCGCGGCACTGACTACTTGCTACAGGCGAAGAGGAGAGCCTGGCACAAGTGGGAGGCCTCCTTGAAGGATTCCGGTCGCAGTCCTTACTTAGCATTGAAAAGCATTTGGAATACCAAAGTTCGAAGCGACAGGAGACAATTTCAGATGAAGCTAGCCGCCAAATTAGAGGCAAACTCGAAAAATCTGTTTAGGTTCATGTCGAAAAGAAAACTACTGATCAAGGGTTGTGTTCCCTAAAAGGACCAGATGGGTAAGTCCTCATCAAACTTGAGATGGTGAGATCTTCAACACCGATATTTCTGACCAATTAAACCAGGCGCCTGCATGTTCGGAGTAATACACCAACCCATTGCCAGCTGACGGCTCAAGGAACATCCGTATCACTCATGACCTAGTACTAAGGAAACTAAAATGCTTACATCGAGGTGAGTCACCGGGTTGTGACAAAATTCGCCCTATACTCTTGCAACAATGTGCTGAAGTCCTCTGTTCACCGTTTTGCGATCTGTTCAGGCATTCACTGGAGTCACACCAATTCCCAGCTGAATGGGAACAAGCTACTCTCTCCAATCTTCAAAGAGGGAGAAAGAAAGGACCCAGCCTGTTACAGACCAGTCGCACTACTACCAATGTTATCAAAGGTTATGTGAGGGCTAGTGGACGAACAAATGAGGGAGTACATAGAAAAGAACAAAATACTCCATGAAGCTCAACACGGCTTTCGGAAAGACAGGTCGTGTGCATCTAATCTCCTAATCGCATGGGACAGTTGGACATCCTGTTAGGATGTAATATTCATCGACTTTGCAAAAGCCATTGACACAGTACACCACGCACGCCTAATCGAAAAGGTTGTGGAAATGGGCTTCGCTGACCCAGTCCTATCTTGGCTCAGAAACTAACTTGAGAATAGAAAGTTTCGCTAGTTGGCGAGCA